CCATACCAATGAAATTACAATGTATGAGAATAGGAGCCAGGCATCAGTATGCCTGAACTATGTCTAGGGGATTTCACTGTTGTCATCCTCGAGTCGTATAGATACAATCAAAGAAAGCGTTCTGTTCAGGGATCTGCTCTATCCCAAGCTTTTCTAAACACTCAGCAGAAGAAGGTAGTTTGACACGGATATACTAAGTCTTAACAATGGGCTCTTGAGGCACCTGGCTGGCTTAGTCTGTTGAGCATCCAGTTTCAGCTCAGGTCATGATCTCACGGTTCTTGAGTTCAAGCCCCACATCAGGTTTGCTATCAGCGCAGAGCCCACTTCAAATCCTCTGTCCCCACTCTCTATCCCTCCCCCATTTGCACGCTCTCAAAAATAAGTAAAACATTTTTATAAAAGTATTAGAATGGGCTTACGGAAACCAACTTGACAAAAAATTATTTGTAAAATAAATAAAAAATAAAAAAAAAAGTATTAGAATGGGCTTTTGAAAAGCCTACATACTATATATTTCATTAATTCCTTTTTCTCATATTTAACAGCTCTCATTAAGATGAGAAGGTCTTACAAAACTGTATACTATGTAAATGTGCCTTGTCCCTTCAAAAAAATGTTCTGGAAAGCTATATGCTAATGCCAACAACGCGACCATTGTTCAAAATACTTGTGTTTAATTGCTTCCTGGAGCAGTGCCTAAAATTTAAAACATAATTAATACAGGCAAGTTTTGTGCTGAGGAAGATTTTAGTTTTAGAAATTGCCAAGTCACTTGAGGTAAATAAATTGATGTAAATCCAGCTAGGTAATGCCTTATTTGGTTCAAAATGAGATGTGGCTATAAAACCCACAGTAGTTCTCTGGAGAGCATCATAAAACTGAATATGGAAGCAGTGCCAAAAAGCTGCAAAAATATTTTTTAAGGGGCTTTTTATTAGTTTATCCAGAGAGAGGGAGAGAATCCAGAGCAGACTTTGTGCTTTCAGTGCAGAGCCAGACGTGGGGCTGAAACTCACGAACTGTCAGATCATGACCTGAGCCAAAACCAAGAGTCAGACACTTAATTAACTGACTGGGCTACCCAGATGCCCTTGCAAAAATAGTTCTGAGCAGTGCGAACAGAAAGTCAAATTTTGTTGAAGTACCAGAGTTTAATGTTTTGAGAAACCTTAGAGCTATTTTCTGATCTATTGCCTATGACACAAATAAAGAAACTAAGGTTTGGAAAAAAAACGGACTCCTCAGTCTCAGTTCTACTAGTCGGTGGCAGATCTAGAAACAACTCTGCCTCCCAATTCAGTTTTAGCTTCAATATCCATTCCTTCCCATCCAAAAAAAGGGGGGGGGGAGGTTAATTTAGGAATAAGTCTATACTATCATCTAATGATCTTTACTTTCTCACAAACTAAATCTTAAAACATTGCAGAATTTTGCTGTGTGTTGTTCCTTCAGGTTTACCTATCTGTGGAAACCAAAATGTGATGTCGGACATATTCCTAGTGTCCAGTCTTACATCATCTTTCTTTTTTAGTTTTTCTATTTTTCTTCTTTTTTTTTTCAAATATTTTATTTAGTTTTCAGAGAGAGAAACAGCACGAACAGGGGAGGGTCAGAGAGAGAGGGAGACACAGAATCTGAAGCAGGCTCCAGGCCCTGAGCTAGCTGTCATCACAAAGCCCAGTGCAGGGCTCGAACCCATGAACCGTGAGATCATGACCTGAGCTGCAGTCGGATGCTTAACCGACTGAGCCTCCCAGGCACCCCTTTCTTCTTCTTTTTTAATCTTAGAGAGCGTGTATGCACATGTCAGCGCAGGGAGGGGCAGAAGGAGAGACTCCCAGGCAGGCTTCCTGCTCAGCCGGCACCCCATGCAGGGGCTTAATCCCATAATCCTTGGGATCATGACCTGAGTCAAAATCAAGAGGTGGATGCTCAGCCAACTGAGACACCCAGACGCCCCATTCCATCATAGTTCTTGATGGGTATTTTTACATCATAGATAAAGATTCTGTAATCCTGTTTTGACATTCTTGGACACAAATTGTCTACATCTAGAAGCCTGAATCTGTTTAATGTAGCAAGATAATTTATAGTCCACTTTATTACCAAAAGAATTTCAGATAGCTTACATATTCTAAGAATAAGTGAAAGTCACAAAAATAGGTAAAAGAAAATTAGGCGAAGAAAAAAGGATGGCAAAAGATGAAAGCACACAGAATACAAGTTATAAAATGCTTCACAGTAATTAAAATTCAGCTATAAGGTTTGGTTTTGAAGGTCTTGGAAATCAGGGCAAAAAAGGTAAACTGATCAGTAAGGAGATTCATAGAACCTAGTTTACCAGCTGCTTAGAAGCAACAAAGCTTTTCCTAGCATTTTGTCGAGAGGAATGGCTATGTCCGTATGTCTAATCTTAGTGAATGTTTTCTTAGATGTGGGCTTTCCACAGAAATCTCAGGAACAAAGGCCTGGAATTGTGAGTATTCTGTTTTATCACTCAAAGACTCTAGATATTTTTTACTTTACAAATCAACGTAGAGTTGACGTTCTCTCATGAAATTTATAATGCAGATTACCCACATCCTCACATACGACTGGAGGAACAGGTAGGGAAAAAAGATCTTGCCATTCTATCAACCTATCTGGGGCTCTATTTTCTATTAATGCTATTAGTTCTGCATTTTCAAATTGAAAGGTTATTCTTGAACAGTAAGAGTGGGCTGTCACAACATCCATGAATATTTAAAAGACAAGTACAGTGCCCTTCCCTTTCTTGCTCTGAACCTCTGAAGGAAGGTTCAGTGACTTACGTATATATTTTATGTGACAATTTACAACACTGTTTTACAAACGTCAGAAAATCCGAAATCTAGGGGGTTGACAAGGGCAGGTACACTACAGTACCCTGTAGATGAGGCCGTGGAGATGGAGCAACCCGTTCAGGGCCACAGCGGTCCTAGCTGCCTTCACTGAGAGCCCGGCCCTTCTAGTGGATGTTGTTTGTTTTCTCTCCCCCTTGCTTGTTTTGTGAGCCCAAGCTCCAGTCCTCTACCATTCTCGCGTCCATCCACTCTAGATAAAGCCGGACTGTGCCGTACTTTTATACATGTCATTTAAAAAAGCTCTTTCTGCAAGTACATTCATTTTTTTGGATGACTTCCTTTTTCTAAAATTGAAATCAGTTATGATTTTGAACATGTGTTTTTATCTCTTTTTAGGGTTTATGTCTTAGATATAAACTTCCTCAAGCCTAAAACACATTATCTAATTATATTCCCTTCACTATTATAAAATCTTGGATGTTTTAAAAACTGGCTCAAATACAGAATACTTGCATCAATTTCTTCCTCTAGTTTTGAAACACTCCTGGAGTAGCTGTTCTTACTGCTTTTTTTTTTTTTAAGCTACCATCCGAGTATGCTTTTTTGTACTACTTCACTGTATCAGAATAACTGAAATCTGCCCTTTCGGCCACTATTTGGCCCCTTTATCCTGCTTCTGTTCTGTACTGCAGACGCACTGCACAGGATTGGACTTATGTGTCTGGCCGTTTTTCATTGAACAGTCTCCTCCTCCTCCGCACATCACTTTTCTCTCCAGCTGTACTCACTGGGGGCCAAGGGAGCACGTGGGTGGGGAAAGCAGCAAGTATTCTGAAGTCCAAGACAGATGTAGGTTTGAATCCTGGCTTTACTACCATTAGCTGTCATGTCATTTTGGTCCAACTATCTGATGTTTTACACCCCATTTTTAGTTGTAGAAAAATTAATAATAAAGGTAAGGAACAAAATGGAGACAAAAGGTAAGGAACTCAAATGTTAGTTTCTTCCTACATATGCACCATCGTGCTTTGCTTAAATAAATGAGGTGGTCATTCCTATGCCTACCACCTTGTGAAAGGGAATCTACTGAATAGGGCACAGAGGAGGGAAAAAGCCCATCTCATTCTCTCTTCAAAGCAGTAAAATTCACCTTCTCTTTGAAGATTCTTACTATGATCATGGTTAAAATACTATGTGATAATATGAAAATAAAAGCTGAACCAAAAGGTACAGAGAGATGGAATAAGATAAATTCATTAAGTGGAACATGCTTAAATATTTAGAATACAGATTTGTTACTTACCATTCTGCCTTCCGGTTACTCTGATAGTCCGTGAGGCAAAGGTGTCTACAAAGACTTAAAAGGAAAAATAAAATATGAAGTATAATCCAACAAGACTTAATATAGTACTAAAAAATTATTTACATAAAGTACTTCCATAACTGCATTTTAAATAGACAAATACAACAGCATCAAACATAAGCATACTGAAGTGGTTAAGCCTCCTGTCACGATAATTCCCCCATCTCCTTAATTTATGGGCACGTCACCATCACAAGATATTCCCAGTTTTTTTGTTCATTAGCATTCTCACCAGCCCCTAGCCTACCTGTTAATTCATATACTGGACAACATTTTAAACTCAAACATTATTTTGGCTTTCATTCTCATCTGGAATTGCTTGCTTAAGGCTGTTGTGATAGTTTCTCTTCAGGCTCATGTACTCTGGGGTAGGCAAACAATATTTAATGCTGGTACTAGGAAGTATTCTAATCAGTATTATTGTTTCTCAACACCATATGATTACCATTAACATGCTAAGGTTTGAACCGAATGACAGTTGGAATAGATGTTCTTCCTGCTTGCCATTCCTTCCAGGCAGCCCTAAGATTCTGTGTATGCACAGTACTGAAAACTTCATTTGTTTCCAAAGTAGCTCCAATGCAGAACATTTGGGTGAACCATTTTGGGGGACTCCAGCCTTGATGCCTAGAGATACTACATAAGCACAGCAGAGATGCCTCTCATGTGTAGCGACAGATCCACCTTTGTCCGCTTTGAAAATGAAGGTCTGTGTGTAAATGGATACTGTCGGTCACCATGTTAACAGTACTGAAAGATCAGATCTACTCCCAGATTCTTTTTGGACTTAAAAAGAAGATAATTAAAAGCACTAGCTTTAAAAGACCATTTATTATTCTTAAATATTTACAACTCATGGGTTAAAATAGTTACCAGTTTATTACCAATAGGTTATTTGTTGGAATTTTGTTTGGAGGGGGCTTCACCAGTTATCTTTGCCACTTTTATTTCCTATGGAAGAGAATTCCAGGTTATCTTTCTAGCTTTTTATATTCTTCTTCCTAGACATTTTGAACTAGTCACCTGGCTATCTTAGGACATTTCAATGACAGCTTCATTAATAGGCTTTCTAGTTTCCCACCTCTGAAGAGCAGGTCTCACTTACTTTCTTGGCTGCTGCCACATAAATAACCTATAGTGAAAAGCACAGTCCAATACAAATAGACCCTGGGTGACTTCAAATGTATATACCATAGCATTCCAACGGAAAACTATAAATGCGTAACAGTGATTAAAGAATGAAGACTGACCGGCCATGGAATCTCTTTAAGAAACACAATAATGGGGACATGGAGGCAGAGCAAGGATTACTGATGCAGAATGCATCAAGGAAACCGGATATTTCCACTTACATAACAAAAAAAAAAAAAAAATGCCTTCAGGCTACACAGTCCCTATGTACACTACTACTGTTAGACCTGAAGTAAAAATATCTTAGAGATTTAAGAAAATCACTATAAATTACTCTATAACTTAGGTTTTGCATGGGTTTAAAATGTTCATAGTTTTACTTAAATCTTACGTGAAGATATAAAAAAATAAATATTGCCATGCATATCTTGTTGACATTTTAAAAACCCACAAATAAATAACTTGAAACGCTATCTAGAGAAATTGCTCCTGTATACTTAGTATTAATTATGGAGGCCTCAAGCAAGTCTATTTTCATATAGCATCCTTAAACTGAAAAAGCTACAAAACAAGTCTAATTTAAATGCCCTTAAATGACCAAAATGTAACGCTAAGGGAAAGAAAACAATACAAGCCAAAACTGGAGTGCAAACACCCTTTTTTTGCTGTAGGTTTTAATGGACAAGGTTTGTGGACTAATGGGATTCCTAGGTTCCCAAGGGCATGCTGGAAACATGAAAATGATGTAAAAGAAATTGGGAATCCTTCCTCAGGCAACTTGTTAAACTATTTTCAGTTTCCTGAAATGTCCCTGGTTAAGACTCTTGTGATGAAAAATACAGATAAGCATTTATAAAAGTCCATCGGGTTCCTCATTAAAGCTGAAGTCACACACTAGCGACAGGTGGTCTGAAGGGTAATTAAAAGATGGTAGCCGGTTGGGTCCAATCTGTTCTTCAGTGAGCAGATCGAGGGCTGACCTCACACTCAGAGCGTGTTTAGAATACCAGATATAATCCAGCGTATGCCGGCACTCCCCCGAGGTCCGGATCTTCCAGGTCGTGTACGGAGGCTCCGACTGCCCGTCAGCGCTCAGCAGCTTGTAGGCACTGTTCAGGTTGAGGCTGGAGGAAGCAAAGTGTTTGTAGACCTCCTCTGTTGGCTCTGCGTTGAAGTCCCCACAAACAATAAGGGGGATCTTGGCTCCTTGAGTGATGTTCTGGAGGTTCTGGAGAAGGTCGCAGCCTTGAGCTGAGCGAAATCGTTCCCAGCCAGTGCGTGCTTTCAAGTGGGTGACGGCGATACAGAACAGTCGACTGGACTCCTTGCACTCTAGAGTCTGTGCAATGGCCACCTGATTGGTCTTCAGTGTCATGGCCGTCAGCCTGATATTGGCACTATTGACTAGCTTGAATCGGTTCTGGAGAAAAAACAGGGCGCAGCCATCTGGTCCGTTGTTGTGTTCTACATCTAGACAAGGTGACCAGGGCTTGGGGAAAAACGTGCCTTGATAGCCCAGTCTACTGAGGAGCGGCTGGAAGGTGTCGAAATAGTGGTCCACCTCTTGGAGGCACAGTATGTCAGGCTGGTAGGCGAGGATTTCTTCTAGGATGAGACACTTCCTTTCTTCCCACTTGAGCGCTTCCACGGGGCATTGGACAAAGTTGTCTTTTCCTTCTCCAAGAGCTGAAATAAGAAAGCCAGGCTGCTGTCAGCTACCACAGAACCATGACTGCTAAGTACCTGCAAGTCTCCTTAGGTTGGATGCTACTTAAGACCCTCAGAAGGCTTCCTCTCCTTCAGATCGTTTGGGGGATTCTTCTCTGTCTACTCTGCATTAACCCACCAAACTAAATAACCCCTTGCTATCCAGATGTGGCCAGCAATTTATTTTCTTTCGTATTAGAACTGTCTCATGTGACTGTATTCTAAGATAGAAGATCTTAAGTTTCAGCTTTGAACAGTGTTCTTTACAATCCCTGGGATCTAAACTATGTCAGATGAAGTAAATATTTAACTCTGTACACTAATTTTTTTTTTTTAAAGATTTCAAGTAATCTTTGCACCCAACATGGGCTTAAAACTGACAGCAGCCCCAAGATCAGGAGTCACATGCTCTACTGACTGAGCCAGCCAGGCGCCCCACCTAAACATTTATTTTAACACTAATCATAATGATCCATAAGAACTGATGTAGACACTACTTGGAATGAAGAGAACCTATTTTAAACAGGCAGCTTTTCCTATTTACGGATAAACACCTAGGTGGGGGGGGGGGGGGATCATATCAAATACTGGAAAGTCAGGGTATATGCCCTTCTTAAAAAAGCTGCCTTTGTTTCTTTTTCTTAAAATTCCAACTGCAACATGAAAGGCAGTTCTACAGAGAGTTAACGGATATATCTTTTTAATTCAGCAGACCTAGGAAAGGCAGCCTTTCTGCCATAACAACGTAATTTTAATGAACTAAAGCATTATTTCTTTGGCCTCAGGTTACATAGATGCATATGGTTGGGAATCTGGGCTCAAGAACACCCAGACTCGGGGTGCCTGGGTGGCTCAGTCGGTTAAGCATCTGACTTTGGCTCAGGTCATGATCTTGTGGTTCGTGGATTCGAGCCCTGCATCAGGCTCTGTGCTGTCAGTGCAGAACCCACTTCTGATCCTCTGTCCCCTTTTCTCTGCCCTTCCTCTGCTTGTGTGTGCTCTCTCAAAAATAAACATTAAAATTTTTTTTCTTTAAAAAAAAAAACAAAAAAAAAACCAGACTCACCACCACCCATAGAGCCCCCATTCCCTGCTTAAAAGTTCTATATCTTATCCATTCAGCAGACTTAGTTTCTGCTTGGAAATGCTACCTTGGTGCTATGGACTGAAAACTGTAGGCTGCAGAAAGTCTGAGGATGATAAAAGACAGGGTCCTTTAACTATGGATGTGCTAGGAGGCAGACATTGTATTTGGAGAGCTTACAAATATGGAAGACATGGTATAAATCTTGAGTTGCTGGACTTGTTAGTGAAAACCAGAAGGCTCCCTTTCTGGGAGCTCCTCACCCCATCCTCCTCACCCGCCCCAGTCACCCTATCCTCTTCCACCTCTATCTGCCCACACCTCTTCCCTCCACATAAGCCATCAGTGCTTTAGGGATGTGCAGACACAGAACGGCAGTCACGGCAAATGTGGCTGCCCAGGCACGAAAGCAGCAGGCATACCCTGGGCAAGGATGTTCCACTGCATGACCCTGATAGGCGGGTGGCTGCTGGGGCGATCTGTCCTCAGATCCACAAAATCCCTCTGGAACCGGGGAGGTCGAGTGTGCAGGACAGCCCTGCATTCCTCAAGGAGTTCTTTAGGATCGATGGGCTCCAGATGTTCTGGATCAGGTGACACCAAATACTCTGGGTGCTGGGAGGCGGCGCTGCTGTTCAGGGTCTTGGCGAGAGCACTATAGAGCCTGCTGGTGCCGTGTCCCATGGAGCACACTACGGGGAAGGAGAGCACAGTTACACGCGCCGCTCAGCCAGAACATAAAACAGTCACTGTCCCTGGAAGCCAAGAACCCGACAGAGGGCAATGGTGCCATGTTCGTGGAGAAAGCTACCTCCACAGAGGTGGATTGAAGGCATTTCCAGGTTCTAGCCTTCTATTAGGACAGGTAACTGAAATACTGAGGTTAAAGTCGGTTTCTGATGAACTAAGATAATTCTTATAAGGGAGAAATATCCTGATCTTTATGGCCTCTCCTAATTTAGGAATTGTCTTTATAATTTATAAACAGAGTCTTAATGAAAGCATGGCTCAACAAAATCCACATTCCTTTTTCTAAATATTTTAGTAAAAATTTGAAGGCCGGTTTGGAAAAAGCCAGATGTTAGGAAGCCCATGTTAATCCTGGGAAAGAGATTAGGTTATAGCAAGCTGTTGCTCTGGCCACCGCATCTATATAGATCCCTCTGTTATGGAAAGTGACAGCTAGGTTAAATCCATATCCACTTCTCTTAGATGTCTACTAGACATCAGGGCTCTGGCTTTCTGCAGGCTCTGAACATCACTGAGCAATATAGTCTATAATATCAACTGTCAGATTTTTTTTAAGAATCCAGAAAAGGGGTTGGAGGTATAGGGGTAAGAGAAGGTTGCCCACATCTCCTGGGATCCTGTGAGGAGGAATGGGGGTGAGAGGAGCAGAAAGCATTTTCTGGTGCTCCACTTTTTATCCTGATAGATTATAATTCACTAAGGAAAGGAGAGCACAATCTCCCATTAATTAACATGAGGGAAATTGTACTTGTAAGCAGGTGATGCCTTTTTTTTCTCTTCAGTACAGCATAAATTAAGGTCAGGTTTTACTTGGAGCAACCTCCAAGAGCCTGTGTATGATGAATGTTGGTGTGGAGGAATCTGGAGTTCCCTACCACATCCATATCCTTGCCTTCTCTTCAAAGACACACAGTTTTCTGGGGCGCCTAGGTGGCTCAGTAGGTTGAGTGTCTGACTTCCGGTCAGGTCATGATCTCATGGTTCGGGAGCTTCAGCCCCGTGTTGGGCTCTGTGCTGGCAGTTCGGAGCCTGGAGCCTGCTTCAGATTCTGTGTCTCCCTCTCTCTCTCTGAACCTCCCTGCTTGTGCTGTCTCTCTCTCTCTCTCTCAAATATAAATAAACTTAAAAGAAACACAGATACAGTTTTCCTATAAAACACATGATCTGGCAGGCTGACTGACTGCATCTGAAACTAGTAGTCAATCATATTCACTGTGGCAGGTCACAAAAGCAAATGCAAATATTTACCGCCAAATGTCCTTAAACATCAAGGTCATAAGCATGCAAGCATGCTCTCTATTGTTCCTATTCATTAACTCAACATAGTTTGTTTCCCCCAGAAAGAAAATTAAATTAAGGCAAAGAAACACATCATACATTTAAGCCAGGCTGTTCTTTCTCTCACACACATACATGCGCAAACACATGCACACACCTGTTTCCAAAGTGTTTGATTTGAATATATTAAAATACTTTTGTCAATCTGCTTGCCTATCTGAGTGCATGGGTCCAAAAGAAGAAATTTTCTTCTTGGCTGGTAATACAACTTTAGAAATCTTTCTTCTGTATATCTGGTTTTTAAGAAAAAAGAAGTTAAAGGTCTTATTGGGTTTCCAAGTGTAGTGTCCAGAACAGCAGCACCACCCAAACTGTGGGCCAGAACATCACAGGCACCACAGCAAGCTCCCAGGGGTCCCACAGGGTATTTTAAATTTGAAATGTACGGCAATACTTGGCATGTGTCAGGCTCCAAGCAAACTACTAGCCTGGTGAAGCTTAGTTTCAACAGGATTGCTCACACCCTCCTACTGTATCTTTGTCAAGCTGAGTTTTGGGGTGGTTACTGTGATAAAATAAACAAGTATGCAAAAATGAACACAAAAAAGAGAGTAATAGTGTCCAACAGGAGTCTAAGGTTTGAGGAGTTCTGTAAAGCCCGGAAAACTATCTTGAACCATACTTCTTTTTATAAAGTTAGAAAAACCCTCACATAAAGAGAAAAACATCCATTTCAGACAATGAAAGCAAACCAGAAAGACATGCCCAGAAAGCAAACCAAAACCGTATCTTACTGCAAATGAGCAGCCACACGTCATTAAGAAGATGATAAAATAGCCTAAATCAGAAATAAGAAACTCAGAAATAAGGCAACAAAGGGAATCAATAATTTTAAAAAAAGGAGCATTTGAGAGATAGTAACAAATATTATGTGCTTATTTTAATCAAAGAAGATCCAACATATGGATAAAAGGAATTCTTGTAGCAGGAAAACCAACACAAAAAAATGAAACAAATACTAAAAGCTATAAATCACAAAAACTTTAGAGAGTAGAAAATTTCAATCATGGAGGATTGAATTAAGTTCTGGAGAGGTAATTTCCTCATGGTAACTATAGCTAATACTACGGTATTGTATACTTGAAATCTTCTACGAGAGTTGATCTTCAGTGATCTCAACACACACACACAAGGTAACTGTGAGGTGACAGGGGCATTAATTAGCTTGGTTGGGGTAACCATTTCACAGTGTATTTGAAACATCATGTGGTATATACCTTAAATATATACTATTTTGTTAATTATACCTCCATTAAGCTGGAAAAAAATAAAATGGCTTAAAAGAAAACAACAACTATATGACATTAAAAAAAGACACGTATTGTGGATATATTTAATATATATATATTATATATATATATATATATATATATATATACGTAGAGGTCCGCCTTATCTGTTATTCTAAAAAAAAGAAAAATTAAGGAAAAAAAAATTTAAAAAATAGTTGAAACTACACATTGAAAAACACATCACATACCTGAGAATATCAACCCAGAATGACCAACACCAACTGGACTGTAAAGAAAAAGAAAACAAACCCCTTGGGTACCTAGGCAAAAAACATCAAGTAACTCGTAAGGAAAGTAAATTAAGAGGATCATCAGACTTCAACTGCAATGCTGTATGCCAGAAGAAAGTGAAGTTACGTATTTGAAATATATGACTCAAACTTTATATACATGGCTCATCTGCACGTGAGCAAAGAATTTGTACCTAGCAACACGGGAATATTGACTGACTCCATCAGCCCTTCCTGAGGAAAGGAGCGGGGCTGACAAACTGTAGCCAGAGGTACTTTTGCACAGTCCGCGAACTAGGAATGGTTTTAAAGGTTGTTACACACAGACACACACACAATATGGAATAAGATCACTTTCGGATCTCAAAGCCTAAATGTGTACTATCTAGCCCTCTTCAGGAAAAGTCTGCCACCTCTGGAACTAGAGCACTAGTTTCAGACCAAAACGATAAGACTTTGATACAAGATGAGTGGTAAGCATTAAATATATAGCTACTTAGAAAATCAAGTTTAAATGAAGTTGAGAGAATACAATATATAATGGCTATGTGATCCCACAATGAATTTATGAAGATTTAATACAACTGAAAAAGGGGCAGGGAGGGGCGCCTGGGTGGCTTAGTCGGTTAAGCGTCAGACTTTCGCTTGGGTCATGATCTCGCGGCTCCTGGGTTCGAGCCCCGCATTGGGCTCTGTGCTGACTGCCAGCTCAGAGCCTGGAGCCTGTTTCAGAGTCTGTCACTCCCTCTCTCTCTGACCCTCCCCTGCTCACGCTGTCTCTCTCTCTCCTAGAAATAAATAAAACATTTAAAAAAAAAGAAAAAAGAAAAAGGGGCAGGGAGCATGGACCAGAATGAGGAAAATATATTCATTTTTTAAAAAAATATATTCAAGTGGCATCTGGGTGGCTCAGTTGGTTAAGCGTCTGGCTCTTGATTTTGGCTCAGGTCATGATTTGATCCTGTGGTTCAAGAGCTTGAGCCCTGCATCAGGCTCGTGTGGAACTTGCTTGGCATTCTATCTTTTCTCTCTCTCTCAAGAATAAATATTTTAAAATATATATTCAATTTAAAAATTTTCAACTGGGGCTGCTTGGCTGGCTTAGTTGGAAAAGCAAACAACTCTTGATTGTGTAAACTTTTCAGTGATCATAATTAGTAGTGGTAGCGTTTGTATTGTTATTATTGTGACACTGCTGTGTAGATGTGAAACGAAGCAAATGGATAGTCAATTCCATCATACTCTGTCGTCCATTTTGGGGTTTAGTTTTGAAAATGTATTTATAGGCTTTTGGCCACAACACTCAAGGAAAACACTCTCGTTAAAACCAACTCATTTTGGACTAACTGCAAATTATGAAATCTGATCACCTATCTTATTTGTGTCTCGGCCTCTCAAAGTCTTTTGGTGGTTTTCAAAAATTAAATTTGCCCTCAAAAGACAAAGCTTTACAGCAAACACAGTGAAGGACACTGTCGTATAGCTAAGCACTAAGGCCTGACCGGGACAGCTGTCAGCACACCAATTCCACTCCTGGTTCCCTCACTGTTTAACTGTGCATAGCTCTTGAGATCTGCTGACCCAGCTTTCAAGTGAGGGCCTGTCAAAGGAGCCTTATTTCCTCGAGATTTTTTTGAAAAATGAATCTAGGTTAGAACTGGTGGCAACTTCAAAACAACACCTCTATTATTTGTACCAGAGGCACACATATTTCTCTTGAGAAAACTTGCATGTACCATTCCTCTCATATTTGAGACCCAAAATGGACAACTTCACGTGTTAACAGTACAGCTGAGCCCAAATAACACAGATTGAACATGTGATTCGATTATATGTGGATTTTTTATAGTACAGTACTCTAAGTGTATTTTCTCTTCCTTATGATTTTCTTAATGACATGTTCTTTTCTCTAGCTTGCTTTCCTGTAGGAATACAGCATAAAATACAGTTAACATACAAAATATGTGCTTATCGACTGCTTACATTATCAGTAAGGCTTCCTGTCAACAGTAGGCTGTTAGTCGAATTTTGGGGAGTCAAAAGTCACATGCAAATTATTTTTACATGCAAATTTTTACCTGCAGGGGGTTGGTACCCCTAACCCCCTGTGTGGTTCAAGAGTCAACTGTATCTGGGTATGGAATGCACTGAATATAAGCCTTTAAAAAAAGTTTTACTAGCGGCGCCTGGGTGGCTCAGTTGGTTAAGCGGCCGACTTCGGCTCAGGTCATGATCTTGGAGTTCGTGAGTTCGAGCCCCGCATCGGGCTCTGTGCTGACAGCTAGCTCAGAGCCTGGAGCCTGTTTCAGGTTCTGTGTCTCCCTCTCTCTCTCTGACCCTCCCCTGTTCACACTGTCTCTCTCTCTCTCTCTCTGAAATAAATAAAACATTAAAAAATTTTTAAAAAAAAGTTTTACTAGCATAGACCTTTTGCTCTTGTTTCACTGTGGATCCATTTACCTACAAAAGATGTCATTAGGATACAATTTGAAGATACTGGGTAGAGGGAAATTATTAGGGAGTATTATTATAGTCTCGTCTCTGCTCCTTAGATCTTAAAGGAAACTGAAAGATGGTCCCTAAGGTGGACTGATGCAAACATATATACCAAGTTCTATAATAACAAAGTGACCCAGCACATGCCTTCTAGTAGTAAAGTACCTGGGAAGCTGACTAATGATCAACACGTCGCATCGTGAGCCTGAACGGGGAGAGAGAACAGATGCTGCTGAACGATGTCTCTGCTGGTCTACCCACTCCTACAGGAGGGCGGCAGGCTATGTGCACCGTGCACTCTGCATCTTAACCTTTTACTACTCTCTTAGGTGTGGTCTTGGACAAAACTCTCATTTTTTTTAATGTTTATTTTAGAGTGAGGGAGCATGAGCAGAGGAGGAACCGGGGGGGGGGAGGGGGGAGGACAGAGGATCTGAAAACACGCTATGAGTTGACGACATCGAGCCCCACACGGGGTTCAAACTCACCAACTCCAAGATCATGACCTGAGCCGAAGTCGGGCACTCAAACAGCTGAGCCACCCAGGTGCCCCAAAACTAAAATCTTCTTAATCTAATCTAATCTCACAGTCCTCAGGGATAATCTGTCCATAATACATTAACTTTACATTCTTATTTCCCAGTTTTCTGAGTTTTGGGAAGGACTTCATACCAGTAAGATGTGTGTTGGATCTTTTCTCTCAAGAAGTTAGCAAGTGTTTGGGGAAAGATTAATACACATGAACTAGTGAGAGAAAAACTAAGTACTTACTATGAGGAATGGGTAGGGTATAATAAGGGTTAAAATAATCAGAATGGATAACAATAACCAGAAAAAGACCGTAAAAAAAGTAAGACTTAAAATATGGAGCTCTAATCCCTGACTAAACCACTTATGTGGCCATCACAGGTAGCCCCCATAATGTCCTGCCCGGCTCTCTCAAACACACACATACTAGACACCAGATGAGTACTCTAGCCCACGGGAGACAGACCAGTGAAGTGACTAAAATCTCTGTCTTCATGGAGCTTCTGCTGTTAGCGGAGAAATACAAGATGATAGTCATATGGTGAAAACTGCTATGGAGAAAAAATAAAGGAAGAAGGGGAGATAGGGAATGCTAGCCAGTGAGGAGTTGCTAATCTGTGTGGGTTGCTCACTAAAGGATGGAATTTGAGCAGAGAGGTAAAGATGGTAAGGTAGTAAATCCATTAAGTCTTATGAAGATCCAATGGAAGAACGAACATTCTGGGCAGAGGGAACAGCAAATGCAAAAGTCCTGAGGAAGGAACATGCCTGGCAGGGTTGATAAACAGCAAGGCACTGAAATGATACACAGAATGAATAAAGACGAGTTAAGTGAAGCAGGGAGGACCGGGCAGCAGATTATAGATGGCACTGTAGGCCATTCTAAGGACTTGAGCCTTTAACTGAGATGGGAAGCCGCTGGAGAATGTTAAGCAGGAATAAGAATCTGATTTACAAAAAAAAAAACAAAAAAACCCCTCACTGGCTGAGGTATTAAAAATACACTACAATGTACGAAATAAGGACAGGCATAGAAAAGCCATTAGTGGACGATTCCAACCATCCAGGCGAAAGACAGTGGTAGCCTGGACTAGTGACAGCACTTAAAGTGAATGGATTCTGAATAAATCTAAAATTGGAGCCAGTAAGTTTTGGGGATAACCTGGATGTGGTTTGTGAGAGAAAGAGTGGAAAATAAGGTCCTGAGCATTGCCAGCAGAGCAACCAGAAAGATGAAGGTGCCAATACTGGCTAGGAAGATTTGACGGGGTTTGCAGAAAATCAGAGCTTAGCAATTAGATACGAATGAAGTTCAGGAGAGAGGGACACACTGGAAATAAACATTTAGAAGTTACTGGACACTTGAGACTAAAGGGAGTTTAGAGAGAAAAGAAACAGGTCGAAGGATTGAGCTCTGCGGCAAACTGGAGAAGATGTGGTGAAAATCTGAGGACGATAAGCCAGAGAAATAGAAGGATAAGGGGAGCATGATCTTCCTGGAAACGAAGTCAAGAAAGTGTTTCATCCATGAAGCAGTAGTTCCCTCTTGTGTCAAATGCTACTGACAGTTCAAGCAGAAGAAAGACAGACCATCCGGATTTAGTAACATGGAAAACTTAAGTGACTTTAACAACAGCCATTTCCAATTTTTGGTGGAGTCGTGGGGAAAAAAGGAAACAGGAAGAGATGAGAGACATACTCCGAGGAAACTTTGCCCTCAAAGGGAGAGAAATGTAGTGGCTAGAGATGGACGCGAGCGAATTTTTGGAGGCTATTACACATGTTTAGTTTGCTGGCGGCGGCGTGGGGGTGGTACAAGAGGGAAGAACGCTGAAGCAGGAGACTCTGGATACGGAGGGCGTGAGGAAGCCCGCGTAGCCTCTCCCCCAAAGGCACTGTAAACCTAAACAGAGCTGTCAAAACCAACTATGTCAGTGCTCTGGATACAGACCAAAGGCATACAACAAACAGAAGCTTCTGCTCACGAAACGTACTGAACTTAGGTAAGCACAGCGTGATCGGTGCCATTCCTGTCCCGGGGCTAGTTGCTCCCACCCCTCAAGCTCGATGCGAGTAGTTCAAGTAGGGCAGCGAGGATATCCACTTATCATGCCCAGGCCCTGTGGCCTTCCCTGGTGGGTCTATCAAATATTTAAATAAGAAATGATACCGACTGTTCACAAACTTCCCAGGTACAGCCCCTCCAGAAGACAGTCTGGCAGGTTTTTATAAAGCATGGACTGATCTATGACCCAGAACTCGTGACCCTGGATATTTTACCTAAGTGAACTGAAAACTTATGTTCCTGCAAAAAAATATGTACACAAATGTTAAGAAGCAGTTTTATTAATAATCACCCCCAACTGGAAGCTACTAAGATGCCCTTCACCGTGGGAATGGATGAACAACTGCAAATAACACAGTATCCAGCCGTGAAAAGGATCAAGTTGTCGATCTTCAAGAGTCATCCTTGCAACATGGATGGGTCTCAAGTGCATTCGGTAAGTGAAAGAAACCAGATCCTAAAACTTGCATATTATGTGACTGTGTTCATGTGACATTTTGGAAAAGGCAATACTACAGATTCGTAGTTGCCAGGGGATGGAGGGGAGCGGGGGCTAACTAGGGGAGTACTTGGGATGATGGGACTGATCTGCATAGTCCTAGAGTGGTAGAGACACAATCCTATGCATGTGTCAAAATCCAAACAGCTGTCAAAAGGACTACACTTTAATATGTACAAATTTAAAATATCAACCAGGGGATGGAATGATCTCCAGAGGGAATGCAGACTGACAAAGGACTCTAACTGTATTACAAATAAATGTATGGCAATCTCACAAAAGGGGTTCAGTAAAAAAGGAGCTATGATCGGAGTAATTTTGAAAAACAGTTTTTAATGGGAAACTACATGGCTCAAGGCTAAAGGAACTGTATTCTAGTTAGCAAAGTTTCTCACAAGTGTAGTAGGCATTAACAATTTCAAACTGCTTCATATATATTGGGGTTGAACATGTAAATGGGTAGTGAATGATGGGAACCTTAATTCTCACTGACAGAGAGGAAAAAAGGCTAGAATGAATCATGTGGTACTGAGCTAGAGTCAGAGACTTCAGGATGAATTCATGTTTCGTTTACTAAACACATAAGATATAGAGATACAGAAATAATTATGCATATGTGTAGGACTGATTTTCTACTTGTTGCGTGCCATTAGCTAACGACGTAGTTATCTCTGCCATCAACCTGCTTTTATCCATCCTAAAAACATGTGTTTTATACCTTTATATGACCAGGATTATTGTAAGGATAAAAATAAAGATATGAGTCTAAAACATTTCTTATAAAATAAAACATTAGGGGCGCCTGGGTGGCTCCACTGATTAAGCATATGACTTCGGCTCAAGTCATGATTTCACTGTTTCTGAGTTCGAGCCCTGCATTGGGCTCTCTGCTGTCAGTGTAGAGCCTGCTTCAGGTCCTCTGTCTCTCTGCTCCTCCCCTTGTGCCCTCTCAAAATTAAATATTAAAAATCTATTTTTTTAATGATACAATAGGGGCACCTGGGTGGCTCAGTCGGTTAAGCCTCCGACTTCGGCTCAGGTCATGATCTTGAGGTTCGTGGGTTCGAGCCCCGCGTCGGGCTCTGTGCTGACTGCCGGCTCGGAGCCTGGAGCCTGTTTCAGTCTGTGACTCCCTCTCTCTCTGACCCTCCCCTGCTCACGCTGTCTCTCTCTCTCTCTCTCTCTCTCTTAGAAATAAATAAAAATATTAATAAATAGATAAATAAAACATTAAAAAAATGATACAATAGATTGAAAGCAGACATGTATACAACTCATACAAACACAGAGCACATAACTAAATTTGTTTTAAACTGGTAGCACATATGGTCACAAAAGCTAGGTGATCACTGCTGTAAAGCTGTCTCCATGCTGCTGCAGAGACTACAACTATCCCCAAATCATGGGTAATCTTCCCTTACCTCTGTCTTTATATTTTTAATATCCAACCTAGATTTTCTATACTTCAAAAATATTCTTGTCATAAAGTTGAGACAGAAGAAAGGAGGGATTTAGGGAAATCCCAACTCATTTTTCCCTCATGTGTTTGGTTTTTCTTTTCTGTTCCTAGTCCCAAGAACATCTGAGCTTAAATAACTATTTCTTAAGGCTGTATTTACCAAAACTTCCTGGTAACATACAGACATGTCAAAGCAAGTGCAAAATCCCAAGCTAGGGAATTAATAACTAAAAGCGAACACATAAAGACTTCACACATAGCAGTTCTTTCTGCCCCTGGGCCCTGTCCCCATGCGGTAATAAAACCTTTTTATTATGTACCAGGGGGGAAAAAACCAAAACATTTCAACTACTAGTTTTGCTCTTAAAACACAGTGCCAACCAGGGCTTAGACCCACATAAGGACTACAATGTAGTAAGGCTATAAAATGTGAGAACATAAGAAAGCTAAAGATTATGGGGCATCTGTCTTTCTCCCCATCCTAAAAAATGATGCCAGTGACAGCTAAGGATTACTGAATACTTAACATGCACCATTTACAAATTCTTCTTGCTCTAACTGCATTTTCAGTTAATTCTCTTAACAATCCTAGGAGTTAAGGGCTCTTATTATGCCCTTTATACAGTGGAAAAATGACTTCGTATCAATTCTCACTGTTTCTCACCTGTTATTAAAAAAAATAACATTCATTTTTTTTCTTTCAGAGAATTAAAAACAAATTCTTCCCACGTATAAATACATGCCCAATTTCAAGATTTTAAGCCATCCTAGTTTAAGTTTTATGCCGTAATAGGGATTGCTATATGGCATTTTAAAAGGATCCCCAAAGGTCCAGGGTACTCAACAGCCAAAGCCAATTTCCTCAGGTGAGACAGTATAAATAATTCGTTCCCGTGGTAATCAAGATACTGAAAAGTATGAAATCTCGACAAAAACTTCTGCTAAACTTTATTTGGCACTCAGACTGGCTTGTAGGTAAGTTTTAGATGTACTTAGAGATTGGTATTTTTTTTTTTTTTTAAGTTCTTCTCAGTACAAGGAAGTCACTTTTTTTAAATGCTTATTTATTCCGAGAGACAGTGAGCGTGAGCCGGGGAGGGGCAGAGAGAGGAAGGAAGAGAGAGAATCTCAGGCAGGCTCTGTGCTGCCAGCGCGGAGCCCCATGAAGGGCTTGACTCGCGAATCATGTGTGAGATCCTGACCTGAGCTGAAGTCAAGAGTCAGATGCTTAACTGACTGAGCCACCCAGGTGCCCCTGGAGATGGGTATTTTTGATTTGACCCCATATTGTATTGTTTTTCCCCCCATGCACTTTACTAGAAAAAGTGTCAGTCATCATCCTCAATGTGATACACATTATGTAACTTATACAGGCAATAGATCAAAATAGATTTCTTATGCCTAGTTAGGATAGGCAGGCCACTCCTGCCTTTTCCTTTTTCTAAAAGCTTATTTCCATATACATTTAGAACCAGGTATCTTCACTCCTTGCATGAATACCTCACTGCTATTTTACTTTATAGGAACAAATAACTCTTCCCTTCCTCATAATAGCCTTTGAAAAGAGTTGCCAGAGAATTCACTGTATTTCTGAAATACAATGGTAGTATATAAACATCCCCATTTAGTCATCCCTTTCCTAGAAAACAAAGTGGGCTAATCACTAAATATAGAATAAAATTTTTCTCCTCATATCACCAGTTATACATACTTCTAAAGCAACAGGCAGACTACAGTATAAGTTCCTGAGTGCCAACCATCAGAGGGAAATGATCAAGACTTAATGAAACACCTTCACACCATAATCAGAATGCTACATGAGAATCCTAACACTTGAGACCCAAACCGACTGGGCCTACCATTCCAAGCAGTCCTAACAGCACTTAGAAATCACAACAGAAAGACACTGCTCCACATAATGTTTCTCTAGTTACCCAGCAGTTGCATATTCTGGAGTTTGCCCAAACCATTCCGTCTGTGAATGATTTCTCTCACAAGTTTAGTCTCCTGAAACTGTGGCTTGGGCAAAAACTAAACAAAAACCAGGATAATCTGCATACACACCTGGGAAGCTGCTGGAGCTGACCAACCCCGGGCCCAAGGAAACCTCAAAGAGCAGAGTATACAGAAACTGTAAAGGACAGACGTCACAGGAAGCCATCATGAAAACAGCAATCCTATGCTGCCATCTGCTGGCCGTGTGTTGAAACACTTCAGAAAGCTTACTTCCCTTGTTCAGTAGTTAATTTTCATTAGGCTTCTTCGGGTAATTAACCACATACATACATACATACATACATACATACATACATACATACATACATACACACACTAAGAAACGATGCCAAGAGACAGCAAAGTCCCAAGGAATCCTGTCAATCACTGATGGAAGAACTGCCTTACACTGGTAGAGCGTTTTACTGAGTACTTTGACTCGTGATCCCCGTTACCCTCTCAAAAACTCCTTGGCTCTTTCATAGATGAGGACACTAAGGTTCCTAAGTTTAAGTGACTTGTCCTGAGTCACTATGAAATGTAACTATCTAGAATTTTGTGAGACTGTAGCTGGGACCTTCTCTTTGGGGAAGTAGGCAGGTCGACCTGATAAACGCACATCAGCCTTCAAATTTTGTGTAGGAGGGTGGACGTGTAGTACGTTAATTCCTAATCCTAGGGGCTGGATTCTAAGTGCAATTCAGGATGATATGACTTCATAGCGAAGGTTAAGTATTTTAGCCAATGTCCAGTCTTCAAATTTCTGTTGTTGAGCACTACTGACCGAATGTAACAGGTAAGCCTGGAGCACTCGGCAATCTGGTATGTTCGTCTGTAAAACCCCTATGGCCAAAACTTCAACTTTTCTCACTAAGGTCAGGCTACAGTTTTGCAGAGGCAAAAACAGTCCTAAACACAGGGACTCAAGTTAGGCTGCCTCGCTTCAAATCCCAGCTCCTCCTTTTACTAACAGGACCCTGAACAAGTTATTCACCGTTTTGTGCCTCAGCTTCTTCAGCTGGGGATTATTCTCATGTACTTCACTGGGTTACTGTGAGGATTGAGTTAAACTAAATATACATCCTAACTGGTGAGTTAAATGTTAGCTATTCTATCATATGTAGTGGAGCTCACTTTCTTGGTTTAAAGAGAAGGCTGTTCATTTTTGAAAGTCTGGCATATGCCATACTAGTTCCATGTGTTTTCATTGCTCTTTCCAACAATCTGGCAAAGGAGGTACTATATTCACAGAAACAGATACTGAGGTTAAGAGATAAGTACACAGTTTTTCAAGATTGCACAATTACTGAGAGGTCTGGCTCTGGAGAAAGTTCCTTGCACCTTGGACTCATGCTCATCAGCATCTCTGACAGCACAGACAGTCAGGACAACTGCAAATGGTGCCCTGACAGCATACACACAGGACTGAACAGAGGTCGAATTCCACCTCCTCCATCTGCCGATGTCACTGCCCTCAGGGCAC